ATGCAAGATGGTTCAGTCCCTTTAAATTAAACTGAGCATAAAAACAAAGTCTAAACAACATTTATGTCCCACTTTAGTTTTAATACATCCAAAATGAGCTGAACGGTTCTGTAGACACGATAAATACTGCGTCGCGTCATATGCATACTGCGCCGCTTGACAGATGAAGAGAATGATGCTCAACTCAACTCTGAAATTTGATATGTCCTTTATAAAGCGGTGAGAGCCACCATGGTCACGATTTATACAGCGTAGAAGGTGTAGATGTCATAGATAGACAGACAGTACTTAGGGGGACGAGTTGGAACTGAGTCAACACACTTAGCCTCGTTTTGACCCCTGTGAAATCACGTACGTACTCTTGCTTCGATTCACCTGTGACTGTCACTCGTCACGAAGTGTACAGATCCGTTGTGGGTTTTTTGTTGATCTCATCACGATTTTATTATGGCGTTGGTCATGGTGACATCAATATGTGTTGCGGTAGAAGGTATTTCCCAATATTTACACGTTACTTGAAACGTTTGTTTAGTTTTGGTTAGGTTGGCTTGTTTGTTAGGCAGAGTTCTTTTCTGTTTTGTACTTTTATCTTTTTGTTTGTTTTTTCTTTGGTCGGGGTATTTATTGCAATAGAAGGGGTTGGCAACTCAGCAATATTCCAGCTTTATGGCGACCGTCTTTAAAACACGTAGAGAGTTACAGTGTTACGGAGGTCTTACATACCGAATTGGCAGTGATGTAGTCGAGTGGTTGAAGCGTTCGCTCGTCACGCCGAGGACCGTTCGATCCCCCACATGGGTACAATGTGTGAAGCCCATTTCTGGTACTCCCGGTGTTTCAGGAATATTGCCAAAATCAGCGCAAAACCATACTCACTCACTGAAAACCACAGGTGTCTAACGCTGACTTTAGCTTGCTGAGCAATTGTCGGTATGGTATTCAGAGGCAATGATTCAAACGCCAAGTCGGACTAGTTTTAGAGGACTTAAGATCGTTAATAGGTCATGTACGATTGACCGATATTTTCAATACACTTTCATCTTAATATGAACGTTACAGAATAGAGGTGATTCTAATAATAGCACTAAGTGTCCACCTATTTTGTCACGTATAAATAAATACACATAACCGTATACAAAGACACATTGAAATCCGTGATTCGTTAATCCAGAAAGCTGTTAATCCTTGCGGTTTTACTGGGATCATTGCTGTCCGGATTGAAGAAGGAACTATACACGAATGAGTGAGTGAGTGAGTTTTAGTTTTACGGTGCACTCAGCAATATTCCAGCTATATAGCAGCAATCTGTAAATAATCGAGTCTGGACCAGACAATCCAGTGATCAACCGCATGAGCATCGATCTTCGCATGGGATACGATGACGTGTCAACTAAGTTAGCGAGCCTGACCATCCGATCCCGTTAGTCGCCTCTTACGACAACACTTGTACTACTTCGTTACCAATACCAGTTCGATTGTTGCAACTGCATCACAGAATACCAGTGATATAATATCTATCATTCCAGACAATACCAGTGATATACCATGATTCGCGACAATACCGGTGATTTACCATGCTTCCAGACAATACCAGTGGTATACCATGATTCCGGACAATACTAATGATATACATGTACCATGATTCCAAGCAATACCTGTGATATACCATGCTTCCAGACAATACCTATGATATATCATGCTTCCAGACAATACCTATGATATGCCATGATTCCACGCAATACTTGTGATTTACCATGATTCCAGTCATTACCAGTTGGTATACCATGATTCCATGGGGGAAGGGGGGTGTTACGATGATTGTTATGGAATAGAATGTACAATGTGAATGACACCCGCCCCTCCTCCTCAAAATGTATGTAAAATAAAGTGATCCCCTTGCATCTCATGTACAAAATTAGTGAGCCCCTCCCCTAGTACATGTGTACAACTTTGATGACTCCTCCCTACCTCCCCAGGACAAAATGGGTAACAACCCACCCACCCCCTTTTAAAATCACCATCATCATCACACACACACACACACACACACACACACACACATATATATATATATATATATATATATATAAATTATAACGGTCCCTTAGCAAGCAGTAAACAGATCAGTTACGGGAGATCGAAATCTATAAAGAGAGCAGTTTAGTATTTATCAAGTATAGATACAAAAGAGAGAATTTTAATATCAGCACTGTATTATAAATGAAAAGTAAACCGATTTAAACCATAGATCAGATGATAACAGCACACAGAGATGAAATCACCCATGGGTGTCAAAGGTGTTTCGATGCGCAGCATCTAAAGTTCATAGGTTGTGCTCTTCTTGCATGTTTAATCCCGTATGAACGACTAATTCAGCACTGGATCAATGTTTTCTTTACAGAAATCGCAAAAGTTTTAATCTCTGCCAATGCCGATCTTGACCCGTTGCAGTTCTCTGAGCTGATTAGGGAAGGTGGAGTAGCCTAGTGGTTAAGACGTTCGCTCGTCACGCCGAAGACCCGGGTTCGATTCCCCACATGGGTACAACGTGTGAAGCCCATTTCTGGTGTCCCCCGCCGTGCTATTGCAGGAATATTGCTAAAAGCAGCGTAAAACTAAACTCACTCACTCACTCTGAGTTGACAAGCCGTTTTCTATTTCCCGGGACGGGGGTAACCAAGTGGTTAAAGCGTTCGCTCGTCACGCCGAACATACGTTCTATTACATACATGGGTACAATGTGTGATGCCCATGTTTGGTTTACCTCGCCGTGAAATTGCTGAATGCGGCGTAAAATCATATTCATCCACTCGCTCTTTCCTTGTGACATATAACCTATCAAAATAGCCCCAAACAACATTCCCCGTCGCTAACAAAACATCTCGGATCAAACCCACCATTTTGTCTCAGATGCATATCTTTCGCTTGTTTCCCTCGGGACTTTCCACGATCCGAATGGGTAGGTTCACAATTTGTGTGTCCACAGTATATCATGTTTCTGAACGCGGTAGAGGATGGGCGTGTGAAATGTTCATTTTAGTTCATATCTTTTCAGTAAGTAGCAGAATTATGTTATATAACCATTTAATGAACGTCATGCTGAGTATAAGGTCCCTTAGTTGCCCCATACCAGACAAAGCGTTCTTTTGTTAAGGGTATATTTACACTGTTGGGTGAATAGGTCGTCTTACCCAGATGCATAGACACTGTAGGTTGTCTATTGCGCTCGGAGGGTGACGAGGGAAGGGGTCAGATCACGAATTCAATAATTGAACATACTTATAAATGAGACGTCCATTGTAAATTTAGAAGCACTTCTTTTTCTTGTGACAAGAACATTTCAGGAGATTATCGACACGTCTTGTCTGCCATGACTGATTTGAAGTGAAACTAATCTGAATTTGTAATCATTTAATAGTTTTTTTCGGTCAGTAGTCGCGAAATGTCGTTAATAATAATAATAATAAATGTGCATTTATAATGCGCGCAATCCAGAGAGATATGCCTGCTCAAGGCGCTACAATGGGAATGTATAAAGATAAAAGTCAGGGAGTGTTGAGTGGAGTTAAATGTCACTGTGATACTTGGAGAACATATGGGTCTTTAGTCTTAATTTGAATTTCTCAAAGGTTGGACACAGTTTCAACTCTGATGGAAGTGAGTTCCAGAGGATAGGGGCAGTGCTGGAGAAGGATCTGGAGCCAAATGTCTTGAGTCGATATTTAGGAACTTGGAGGAGATTTTGGTCACTTGATCGGAGTTTACTTGCTGGAGTGTGTGGAGTCAAGAGTTCAGATAGATAGTCAGGGCTGGTGTTATGGAGGCATCGATATGTGATACAGAGAAGCTTGAACTCTATTCTAGCTTTTACTGGCAACCAGTGGAGGTCTCTGAGCACTGGTGTCATGTGCACATGTCTTGGTGTTCTTGTGATGACCCGTGCTGCAGAATTTTGCAGCACCTGTAGCTTAGATAGCAGTTTACCACTGATGCCCTGAAGCAAACTGTTGCAGTAATCTAGTCTTGATGTTATTAGACCATGGGCAAGTACCTTTGCAGCTTCTGCGGTTATTAAGTGTCGAATGTTGCTGATGGATCGGAGATGATAATAACAGGTTCTACTGATGTGGGTAACCTGTTTCTCCATGGAGAGGTGTGAGTCCAGAAATACTCCCAGATCTTTAAGGTGGTCACTGAGAACTATTTCCGTGTCCGTTAAACCGTTAGCTTGCCGTGATAAGCCGAAATATTGCCAACGGTGGCATCACTCACTCACTCACTCACTCACTCATTTTGGGTTTTAGTAACAGTGTTTAGGCCATATGTTTTAATTCTCTGAACCCAGTGAACATCCGGGTTAGAATTAATGTTCACCAACCCATGCTTGTCGTAAGAGGCGACTAACAGGATCGGGTGGTCAGACTCGCTGACTTGGTTGACACATGTCATCGTATCTGAGTTTCACAGATCGATGCTCATGATGTTGATCACTGGATTGTCTGGTCCAGACTCGATTATTTACAGACCACATCAGTATAGCTGTAATATTGCTGATTGCTGAGTGCGGCGTTGTACAAAAAACAATCAATCAAATGCATAAAGACACATGTCAAGATAATTATAACTTGTAAAATGGTTCTTGTGATGTGTTAATAAGGACGAAGTATGTTTCACAAGCAAATAAACAAAATAAACACTGGGAACTTATCACGGCACAGTGACCTTAGGCGCCACAAAGGTCATTATGCACAGTTCCGCCCCCTTATCTATTCCCGGATCCACAGTTCATTGCTATGAGTACTAGATTCGATCCGACTGTGGTCCCTGATCTCTTAACACAATACTCGGAATTACGGAATTAACCAAAGTAGTACACTATAATTTCTGTTATATATTCCAATTTGTCCATAGACTTGTTTCCGACTAGACAGGCACCGATCTAAGCACGAGTCCATTCAAGGGTTAACGTTATAATCCACACAATGTCACTTCCCTTTCAGACGGGAAACAGCGCTATGGCAACAGCCCACAGGATCCGAGACAAGCATCTGACGTGCAGCATTTGCTTCGAACTGTATACGCGCCCAAAGACGTTGCCGTGCATGCACTCTTTCTGTGAACACTGCTTGGAGAACCACATTCTGGCAAAGCGAGATGACAAGGGGTTCGGATGCCCCATGTGCAACACCCACACCCTCATGCCCGACCCTGCTGCCCCTCCCGACAAATGGGCGTCCCAGTTCAAGACAGATTTCAAGCTGGTTGGCATGCTCGAGGAGATATTTCAAATTGAGCAAGGTGTGTAGTAATAGGATTTGTTTGAGTGGCATTCTAGAAGTTGGTGGTATAGAGATGACAAAACTGTATGGATGTTCAACTTCTCTATATTCACAATAAGGACATTTCGGTATAGTTTCTTATACCGTTTTCGAGCATATGAGGGAATGATGGGGTACACCAGTCTATATACAAGAGGTGAGGTGAGGTGAAATTGGGTTTTACGTCGTGCTTGAGAATATTTGACGATGTGCATGCGTGTGTATGTGTATGTGCAGCTGCTTGTACTAGCCCAGACTTAAGCTGGTTTTATAGTGCTAGCCCACTGAGATACCATGCCGCAGTGAAGCATGAATACCCCACTCAGACACATTATACTGACTCCGAGCCGACCAGTCCTTGTTGTACCCATTAATGCCGAGCGCCAGGCAGGGACCAACAAGTACCATATTTTAACGTCTTTTTGTATGACGCGGTCGGGGATCGAACCCACGACCTTCCGCTCTCCGGGCGGACGCTCTAACCACTACACCACGGAGGCGGTATCTATAAACAAGATACATGTACATATGATCATGAGATAACAATAACAAAGGTTGGATAACAAAGCATCAGAGAAAGTTACATGATGAGTTGTGATAACATGATGAAGAGCTAAAATAACATAAATGAGATGAGAGGATTACCATGACAATTAGTGAAGGTGAGTTAATTAGGCAGAAGCCAAGGAGGTGAGGGATTAATTAGAGGGAAACCTCTACAGGGTTTAACGGGTTTAATTGGGTTTAACGTCGTGCTTGAGAATATTTCGCTCATATGACGACGTGCATGCGCGTGTATGTGTATGTGCGGCTGCTTGTACTAGCAGGTTTTATAGTGCTAGCCCACTGAGATACCATGCCGCAGTGAAGCATGAATACCACACTCAGACACATTATACTGACTCCGAGCCAACCAGTCCTTGTTGTACCCATTAATGCCGAGCGCCAGGCAGGGACCAACAAGTACCATATTTTAACGTCTTTTGGTATGACGCGGTCGGGGATCGAACCCACGACCTTCCGCTCTCCGGGCGGACGCTCTAACCACTACACCACGGAGGCGGTATCTATAAACAAGATACATGTACATATGATCATGAGATAACAATAACAAAGGTTGATAACAAAGCATCAGAGAAAGTTACATGATGAGTTGTGATAACATGATGAAGAGCTAAAATAACATAAAATGAGGATGAGAGGATTACCATGACAATTAGTGAAGGTGAGTTAATTAGGCAGAAGCCAAGGAGGTGAGGGATTAATTAGAGGGAAACCTCTACAGGGTTTAACGGGTTTAATTGGGTTTAACGTCGTGCTTGAGAATATTTCGCTCATATGACGACGTGCATGCGCGTGTATGTGTATGTGCGGCTGCTTGTACTAGCAGGTTTTATAGTGCTAGCCCACTGAGATACCATGCCGCAGTGAAGCATGAATACCACACTCAGACACATTATACTGACTCCGAGCCAACCAGTCCTTGTTGTACCCATTAATGCCGAGCGCCAGGCAGGGACCAACAAGTACCATATTTTATCGTCTTTTGGTATGACGCGGTCGGGGATCGAACCCACGACCTTCCGCTCTCCGGGCGGACGCTCTAACCACTACACCACGGAGACAGTCGTAGGCTGATGGGATCGAATAGCCATGATCCCTGTTAATAGAGGGGTTACAACGGCGTATTTGTAAAGCTTCGGCCAATTTGCGCTGAGTGTAATCATGATCCACCTTTGTCTGTACTGACTATGATGTGGTCTAGTGAACACTACCACATGAAGAGTAGTAGTAACTTCAATATTTTAAAATAGCTAGTTTGACAAATACTTTAATTCAAAAATGCTCCCAGCAGTTTGTATGAAGACGACCCGTGAAGATTCGGGTGCGAATTGGTCTTCAGCAAACTATGCTTGTGGTATGAGGCCGCTCACGAACATGAGTTAAGACCATCAGTGTGCAGTATAACTGTCATTGTCTCTGAGTTAAAATACCGGTGAAGGTCCGGGTTAGAATTCGTCTTCTGTAAATAATGCTTGTCAAAGGAGGCGACTAACGGGATCGGGAGGTCAGGCTCTCTGACTTATTGACACATGTCATCGTATCCCAATTTCTTTGATCACAGGATTGTCTGGTCCAGATTCGATTCTTTACAGTCGGCCGCTGTTGACGCATGTCATCGGTTCCCAATTGCGTAGATCGATGCTCATGCTGTTGGTCACTGGATTGTCTGGTCAAGACTCGAATATTTACAGACCGCCGTCATATAGCTGGAATAATGCTGAGTGCGGCGTAAAACAAAAAACATAAATCAAATGCATAAAGACACATGTCAAGATAATTGTAACTTGTAAAATGGTTCTTGTGATGTGTTACAGAGAGGAGCGTGGTGAAGGATGCCAAAAAGCTGAACCAATTGTTGGACGACCTACGGTCCAGCGAAAACACCCTTCTGGACAAGATCGAGATCGACAAGCTAGCCCTGTCAAAGATCAGTGTGGACCAGGATGAGATCTCGCAGCAAATCTCGGACGTCTTCTCCACCATCAAGATGAAGATTCAGAGGAAGGAAGAAGCACTAAAACAACGCCTCAATCAGCTCTGTGTTCAAAGAAAAGACATTGTGTCGCGCAGCTGGCTTAGCAAACAGAAGTTGATTGATCAGATAAACTCCCAAATAGAGGTCGGCGAGAAGCTGACCTCTATGGCGGTCAAGGACACTTCTGAAGGTGAGGTGGAGAAGTTCCACGAAACGCAAGCCCAGTTTAAGAAAGCAGTGGATAATGCCACCAGTGTCAGTCTTCCTAATGTGGAACTCAATCTGAAACAGGAAGATATAACCAGATTTGATTCGTTAGTATTTTGTGATATACGGCAACTGAAGGCTGAATCTGACAAGTCTGTTTCAAATACGGACAAAGAAATTACCGGTGTTGTTCCAGAAAAGTCAAAGTCCGGTGAGGCTAAAGCCGTCAAAGAAGTGAAATCGGTTAAAACGTTTAAAGCACCTCAGCCACCTCAAAAAGTGCCAGCCCAGATTATCCTACCCCAAACATCTACATCCGGGGAACCGGCACGTCCGCCATTGGTCGCCATTTTGACACCGACGAAGGACGACTGTGACAAGGAGCCAGAATACCAGGATGTTGTAGTTCTTCGGGAATCGAAGATTCAAATTGTTGTAGTTAGTGACTACAACAATAAAAGGGTTGTAGCTATATACGTTCAGCAAGGAAGTAAGACTCAGAAATCGATCAAATTAGACGGGAACCCCACACGGTTGTGTACACTGGATTCAACAAAAGTCGGCGTCAGCTGCAGCGATCCGTACCAGGTGATCGTAGTAACTGTTCACCCAGAACTGAAGCAGGTCGCGACAATCAACACAACCATCAACAACCTCGGGATCGCTGCCCTCAACCCAAACACTCTCGCAATATCCAACAAAAATAAAATCAGTGTTGTCACAACCACTGGGTCCATCCTGAAGGAATTCAAGACCAAGGTGGACAGTTCTTTCTACTCCATGAGCTGGTACATGGCGACGACGCCGACGGGGAGCATCATCGTGTCAGACAGCTACGCGGAGGTGATCTCCTGCGTCACCCCAACGGGGCAGACGTTGTGGCAGTGGAAGACGCCGGCGGGAACACCACCGTCGGGGGTAGCTTGTGACAAGCAGGGCAGGATCTACGTGGTTCTGTCGAGTATCAGAGAGGTCCATAGACTGAGCCAGACGGGACAGTATCTTGGGGTTGTCCTCAATAAGGACGATGATTTGGTGCTTCCATCGGCTATGGACATTGATCAGTTCGGTCAGTGGTACATGCTAAAGAAATCCCGCCAAATCCAAATCTTCAAACCACTTGCAAACTGATGCGTTTGGACTATGGCGTCAACGGAGTAAGGGTAATGGTAAGGCCCGGCAAGTGCCAAGCTACTTGCCCAATGGTGCCAATGGTCTCTGCCCAAAGAAATCATAGCTCAACGATGTCTGCAAGCTCTCATTAAAATTTCCGTGCTACAGCTGCAGTTCTATGCTCGCGTTGTGTAACACACACGTGTTACGCCCTTATACCCCCGTCACACTTGAGTCGGAATGAACCGGAATGCTGTCGGAATGAAAAATTCTGGAGATTCCTGGAAATTGGAACTGAAGTCTAAAACTTCATACTGCATTCCGAATGCATTCCAACTATTCGGGTCAATTCTTGTAACATGCCCGAATAGTTTGAACATGTTCAAAACTTTCGAGGTACATTCGAAGTGGCATTTGAGTGCATTCGAACTGCATTCTAAGTATTCCTACTGCATTCTAAGTGCATTCTAAGTATTCCTACTGCATTCTAAGTATTCCTACTGCATTCTAACTGCATTCTAAGTATTCCTACTGCATTCTAAGTATTCCTACTGCATTCTAACTGCATTCTAAGTATTCCTACTGCATTCTAACTGCATACTAAGTATCCTACTGCATTCTAACTGCATTCTAAGTATTCTTACTGCATTCTAAGTATTCCTACTGCATTCGAACTGCATTCTAAGTATTCCTACTGCATTCGAACTGCATTCCAAGTATTCTTACTGCATTCGAACTGCATTCTAAGTATTCTTACTGCATTCTAAATATTCTTAACATATTCGAGGGAGAATAGAAAAGAGACAAGCCACTTCAAATCCCGTTAGAATGTCTCGAATGCGCCTGGAATGAGACGGAATGTATCTCGATTGCTGCTTGACTTCAGGTGGAATGTTATTCAATTGTATCGGAATATTTCGATTGAAGTTGGAATACAGCTCGAATGTACCTCGAATACAACTGGAATACATTCAGAACGTCCCGAATGCTCTTCAAATGAGCCCTGACGTCATCAGAACACCGCCGAATCGCATAAAAACGTGGCCACCTGTCACTGAAACGTCTGATAGCATTTGGGAGTCGCATGCTTACAAAGCTTGAAAAAAATGTTTATTTTGACATTCTCTCCTGAATGCGGTCCGAGTTTTGGATATATACTTTTCTGGCTGATTCTCCTTGATTCCTATCAATCCGAAATAAGTGTGAAGTTGTCTTTATCTCAAGCGCCTCCCACTTGCCCCCACACCCCACACCCCACACCCCACACCCCACACCCCAACCCCAACACACTCCCCAAGTTTTATAAAGGAATGGTATACTAAGAGCGCCCCAATTACAATATTGTAACATCGACTGTCTCGGACTACTGAACAGTCATATCGGAAAGATGTATTTATTGAATCACTTCTTGTTTATTGGATTATGTAACTATTGCTGTCATCGGGTTTAAATTCAAGTTATTCAACTTTGACTTTGCAATTCAACTCCGATTTGCATTTATACCCACGGACATGCGTTGGAGAACTGTGCATGACGTTGTTAACGTGTAGATAACCAGATATAGCTCATTGTAATGATCACTATACAGCATTACACTAAGTGAAATTGTTTGCACGGCAAAGGACAATATAGACTTCCCTATGACATGACAATCGTTAGCAAATGTGAAGTGAAGACACTCGCGGGCACACAGCACGCTGACATGCTGATATCACCATCGAATAACAATTTTGTTGTTTCACTTGTAGCCACTAATTAAACATGAATTTCTGTTGCTCGACAATATATTAATCTGGAATTGGTGTGAACTTGGGAGCCACATAAACGGCACCTCTGTTGATTTTTGTTATATTAATTGAAAACATAAGTTTACAGCTTTTCAAAATTAAATTAAATTCATTACTTTTTCAAGTTTTCACTGAACCAATTTATTTTTACTTTTACACAAATATTCCTAGCCAGAGATTACAAATGCGTACAGAAATAAACGATGAATCATGAGGTCCATGGATCTCCATATTCAGACCAAGATTTCAACACAAGCTTTGGATCATTATCAAATCTAGCAACAGTTCTTTAAACTTTGAAGACAAATCTCACCATTCTTTCGCTAGCCCCTCGTGTTTTTAGTTATGTCTACCTTCGCCATATTTAATCAAGAATAAAATGTAGCCGGCTGGATAAAAGTATTTAGAAGCTTAATGATGCATAGAATCGTTTGAGAGTACCCAAGTACAACTTGTGTGGCAAGTGTTTGAACAAAGAATGTTATATTCTGAGCCAACTGTACAACACAACGGAAGTTAAGGAACACCAGGCCAGCTATTCTCGAAACGTTCGTAGCCCAACGAACTTATTAAGCCCACTCTTAACACATTGGCTACGATCAAAGTTAAGAATTCTTACGGATACGAATGTTTCGAGAATAAGAACTGTTGTCAGATGACTGTGGTAACTATAGGGAACTGTTGGCAACTGTAACCCGCAATATTGAGCATGTTCTTCAACTTGACTTAGGTACTGTATCTACTGAATTGTGGCAATATTCGGGCAGTCGTAGATCCATATCACCTGACTGGGTTTTCCGGTTCATCGATCACTTGATTGTCTGGTTTAGTTACAGGCAGTACTGCTGTCCGGCGTCAGGCAAAACATAATTCCATTTTTATTTCAAATTATGTGAATGGCGGGTGCTACTGATAGGGCAGGGTATGTTTACCCTATTTTCGAACACCTGGTGTAATCACTGATTTTCAGTGATTCATTCATATATTTCTCACAGCTATTTTGCCCTTTACACAACCGCAATCTGTTCCTGGAGGTGTCCAAGACTGGGTATTATTTTGCACTACACAAGAGTGAGTGAGTGAGTTTAGTTTTACGCCGCACTCAGCAACATTCCAGCTATATGGCGGCGGTCTGTAAATAATTGAGTCTGGACCAGACAATCTAGTGATCAACAGGATGAGCATCGATCTTCGCAATTGGGAACCGATGACATGTGTCAACCAAGTCAGCGAGTCTGACCACCCGATCCCGTTAGTCGCCTCTTACGACAAGCATGGGTTACTGAAGGCTCATTCTAACCCGGACCGTCACGAATCTCTTTTTCTCAACGACGAGAATGAGCGAGTGGCTGACTCACAGCGTAAGTGTGAGTGAGTGAGTGCCTGCGAGTGGGTGAGTTCAGTTTTACGCCGCATTCAGCAATATTCCAATATGGCGGCGGTCTGTAAATAATTGAGTCTGGACCAGACAATCCAGTGATCAACAGCATGAGCATCGATCTGCGCAATTGGGAACCGATGACATGTGTCAACCAAGTCAGCGAGCCTGACCACCCGATCCCGTTAGTCGCCTCTTACGACAAGCATAGACGCCTTTTGTGGCAAGCATGGGTTGCTGAAGACCTATTCTACCCCGGATCTTCACGGGTCCACTACACAAGAGAAACCAGGAATAACTTTGAATTCCCATAAATCTATTTCTGAAAAATAAAAAATGGTTAAAGCGTCCGTTCGTCACGCAGAAGGCCTCACAAGGGTACAATGTGTTCAAATCCCATTTCTGGCGTCACCCACCGTGACATGGCTGGAATATTGCTAACAGCGGCGTAAAACTAAACTCACTCACTGTTCTATGATACAGCCAAGGCTTAATTGTTTGTATATGTTGGAAATAGTCAAGGAATATATGTTCAGGTTTTGTGCACAAAAAGACAAAACTGAAAAACAAATACAAAAGATACTTCCCTACTGACTGCGTGGGTACAGTGAATGATGGCCGGGTCACTGTAATGCTTAAATCTATGTTCTAAATTATTTTCGAAATATATATATGTGAAATATATGTTATACTTGTTGCGTGTATTTCGTTCTACGAAATGTGTATTCAATGTCAAACAGTATGAATAAACACATATAGTTCCCGCCTCTATTGTGTCTTTCCCGCCCAATGGCATCGGTTTCAGCGAAAAATCGAGACTGGTTATCTCCTGGCTTTGACGTTTTTGGTGTTACGTGTTGAAGCCCAAGTTGAAGCTGAAGTTAACCAGAAATTAGTCTCTGTTAAAGAACTCGATGTAAAATTAACTAAAAACAAATCTATTTGATGTATTAAAACATTTGTGTTCTAAACTAATTTCTAAACACAGTTTACACTTAAATTTAAAAATATTTTAACCACCATATTTTAACGTCTTTTGGTATGGCGCCGTCGGGGATCCACTCCTTAACCTAGACATTCGATCTACCAACCGCAGAGGCCCTCAATCTGACACAGATACAATTGATATCACGATATGATTGGTCAAACTAGGCATATACATATACCGCCGTCGCGGAGTCTCCATTTGTTTGGTTTATTGCTGAAAGGTCACGGTGACCTGTATGCAAATGTGTTTGCTCGGAAAAGCAGCCATTCACCAAACATATTTTTGGGTATATGTCAGCTAGAAGGAAATCTTTTATGATGTTGATTTTTATATGATAATTGAAAATTACCAAGCTGTGATTCATAAGCACCGAAATAAAATATTATCATTTTTGATGCAGTTAATGTATTTGAATGCCTTTACTTCAGCATTCGAAATTAACATCAGCCTGAAAACCACTCGGATCCTCAGCTTTTGTTTTCTGCAGGTCCTTATGGCCGACAGCTTTTTCATCCCCAGTAACTAGAAGCATTATTTTTCAGAAAATATCATCCTGTAATTTCTAGTTTTTAAGTCGATCAGCAGCTGTTGTCTGTAAGTGAAATGACTATTATTTTGTAGGAAGCAATTTAGATCACTGAGATGTGATCTTTAACCTCGAACACGTTATTTGAATGCATTGCAAACCCCATACTGATAGGGTATCGCTTTCAGTTCATTTACGATGGAAGACGATAAATGGTGGTGTGCAGTTTGTAAGGTGTCACGTTGTTTGTTTGCTGGGAATTACTTATATTGTAGCTAAAATATAAGACCTACACATACTGATCAGGACCCACAAATTTTTATGGTTCTGGGCCTAGGTTTTCGAAGCTCTCTTAGCGCTAGGATAGTTGTAAGTTAATGCTAATGTATGGCACTTACGACTATCTTAGTGCTAAGAGAGCTTCGAAAATCGAGGCCCTGGGTTCTTAGAGCCTGCACTCTTTACGGTTAAGGGCAAACACTGCTTCCTTGCACATTTGCAAAATTAACAAGCATTTTGTTCAAGCAAAGTAAGACACAACTCGAGATTTGAAAAACAGATTTGGTTTCACATCTCCTGTTTGAATAATTAAATTCTTGATAGCATATATATTAATCAGCGAGCAGGAACAGAAGGCTGTGAAATTAAAGGTTGTTATGCTCAGTTATTGCACAGATTTTGTGTAGTGAGTAAAAAGCTCTGGTCCCAAAACTGACCCTTGAAGAATACCAC